GAGGGAGGAGGGAGGAGGGAGGAGGGAGGAGGAGGAGGAGGAGGACCGCGGCGCCCGCGGAGGCACTGCCGTGCCGATCTCGGCCGGGCGCCCCGCGGCCACGCAGGACGGTGTGCCGAGCCCGGCCGCGCCGGGCCGGTGCTCCGCGGCGCCCGCCGGCCCGCCCTGGAGTCCCACGCTTCGGGCCTGGGGCGTGCGGGGTACAGTCATCGGCCTGACCTAAGGAACGATAAGTAAGGAACGAAGCCCCTTTTTTATCCCAAGGAATAACGCATAAGGAACGATCAATAATACATTACGCATGAGGAACTGTAAATAACGCATGCAAACCTAAGGAACGACCGAGCCCCTTTTGAAAAGCAAGTGTTCCTTATTCAAGCCGCTCACTGTACATGTGCGTTGGTGCGGTGCTCTGGGATGGCCCCGCTGGGAGTGGAGGGCAACCCGGGGCCTCTGGGCCGGGTCGGGGTGCCGTGGTGGGCCGTGGGGAAGGGGTGCACCTCCCGAGGCGAAACCGAGCTCTGGACATCCTCGGGTCGGGATCCATCGGAGACCCAGCGGCTCCGAGGGCTGTGTCGGGCACCAAGGCTTTCTCCTCTTCCTCCTCCTCCTCCTCCTCCTCCTCCTCCTCCTCCACTCTGGAACGCCCTGCGAGGACTTCTAGAGCAATTTGGAGCGATTGTTCTCCGATCGAAAGGACCATCAAGCCTACACGTGTGCTGATGTGATCTGCGTGCCCATAGCGCAAGAAACCTGTCCTCCAGGGGCTTTCCCGCCGAAGCGGCACTGCACGGAAGCATCGGACGAGGGCCACTCGCACTGCCGCCTGCCAAGGGAGCGGCGCGGCGAGATGGGGCGAGGAGGGAGGCATACAGTCGGGGCGCTGAAAAAGGAACCCTTGTCGTTGGGGAGGGTCTCGGTGTTCCTTGATTCCCTACCTAGGCTCTGCCTAGAAGGGTTCTTACTCTCTTTGCTTAAAGGGCCGGGCAGTGCTAACCGCCCCGGGCGGTTCCCCCAGTCCCCGCCCCGCTGTTCCCCCAGTCCCCTGGGAGCTTTAGCCTTAGCTTTAGCTCAAGCTTAGCTTTAGCTTTAGCTTTAGCTTTAGCTTTAGCTTCAGCTTCAGCTTTAGCTTAGCTTTAGCTTAGCTTTAGCTTAGTGTTAGCTTAGCTTTAGCTTAGCTTCAGCTTAGTGTTAGCTTAGCTTTAGCTTAGCTTTAGCTTAACGTTAGCTTAGATTTAGCTTAGCTTTAGCTTAGCTTCAGCTTAGCTTTAGCTTAGCTTTAGTTTAGCTTTAGATGTGAGTTAGCTTAGCATTTGCTTAGCTTTAGTTTAGCTTTAGCTTAGCTGTAGCTTAGCGTTAGCTTAGCTTCAGCTTAGCTTTAGCTTAGCTTTAGCTTAGCCTTAGCTTAGCTTTAGCTGAGCTTTCGCTTACCTTCAGCTTAGCTTCAGCTTAGCTTTAGCTTAGCTTTAGCTTAGCTTTAGCTTATCTTTAGATTTAGCGTTAGCTTAGCTTTAGCTTAGCTTCAGCTTAGCTTCAGCTTAGCTTCAGCTTAGTGTTAGCTTAGTGTTAGCTTAGCCTTAGCTTAGCTTTAGCTTAGCTTCAGCTTAGCTTCAGCTTAGCTTTAGCTTAGCTTCAGCTTAGCTGTAGCTTAGCTTTAGCTTATATTGAGCTTTAGCTTTAGCTTAGCTTTAGCTTAGCTTTAGCTTAGCTTCAGCTTAGCTTCAGCTTAGCTTCAGCTTAGTGTTAGCATAGTGATAGCTTAGCCTTAGCTTAGCTTTAGCTTAGCTTCAGCTTAGTTTTAGCTTAGCTTTCGTTTAGATTTAGCTTAGCGTTAGCTTAGCGTCAGCTTAGATTTAGCTTAGCATTAGCTTAGTGTTAGCTTAGTGTTAGCTTAGTTTTAGTTTAGCTTTAGCTTAGCTTGAACTTAGCTTTAGCTTAGATTCAGCTTAGTGTTAGCTTAGCTTTAGCTTAGCGTCAGCTTAGCTTTAGCTTAGCTTTAGCTTAGTGTTAGCTTTGCATTAGCTTAGCTGTAGCTTAGCTTTAGCTTAGCTTCAGCTTAGCTGTAGCTTAGCTTCAGCTTAGCTTTAGCTTAGCTTTAGGTTAGATGTATATTAGCTTTAGCTTAGCTTTAGCTTAGATTTAGCTTAGCGTTAGCGTAGCTTTAGCTTAGCTTCAGCTTAGCTTTAGCTTAGCTTTAGCTTAGCGTTAGCTTAGCTTTAGCTTAGCTTTAGCTTAGCGTCAGCTTAGCTTCAGCTTAGCTTTAGCTTAGCTTTAGCTTAGCTGTAGCTTATATTTGGCTTTAGCTTTAGCTTAGCGTTAGCTTAGCTTTAGTTTAGCTTTAGCTTAGCTCCAGCTTAGCTTCAGCTTAGCTTTAGCTTAGTGTTAGCTTAGTGTTAGCTTAGCCTTAGCTTAGCTTTAGCTTAGCTTCAGCTTAGCTTTAGCTTAGCTTTAGCTTAACTTTGCTGTTACTACTAATGCTGCTTTTCTAGGGGCTCTAACT